TGCCCATTAATTGTTCCAGGTACTCGACCAACAGTTTCCCCTTTCAAATTTTCTATTGTGAAGTCTTTTGGATCAGGTCTGTCATTTCTCTCCCTAGGATAGAGGAAACAGTCAAAAAGGCCATCACAACCACAGCAAGACACTTCACTCATCGGCAAAAATAGATGACTATAAGCAAATGAGTAAACTCCTGGAGATACGTCTCCCGTTGTCAGATGATGCAGTGAAGCAAAGAAACATTCACTAAGTGGATTCTGCACATGTACTTATAATCGAGAGACGAGGAAGATAATTATAAACGCTGCAGTCTATTTTTAGTTTGAATGTAATAGCAATTCATCAAGAAGTTAATCTTAAGGTGAGCAATATGCATTTGTAGGTACAGATGATGTAAAGATAGGCACTGCTTAGAATTAGGGATTCATAAACCGCAATAAATATGTAATGTCTAAGTATTGGCAGTAAAAGGTTCTCAAGTTTGATCAGCATACAGTGTCTTCTAGCAATAAACACTTCTAGAGAGTTAGTGACGATAACAATTCTCCAACTATACATGTACAAGTTTTGAACGATACAACATCCAAGAAAGAGTACATTTAAGTAACAACTTCAGATAACAGACAGAAGATCAGTCTCAACACACTCCAGACAATGCAGCATGCTATTTTAAAAGAAGATGTGTCCAGAGGATAAGTTTCCCAAAATTTGCATAAAACTCCATTGTACTAAAAAGCTTTACAAACATGTAACTACACTATATAGAATACATTGTATAGTGCCAATGAAATATTAATGTATTGATGGTTATTGATATTCGACAATTACTGAATCCAGGCTGTTTTTTTTCATTCCATTTATTATTAAACTAGTACATGGCTCCTGAATGTAACTCAATTAAGATACCCTAGCAACAAGTAAATGTAACTACTGAAATATGTACACCCCCCCCCCTGTAACTCGTGTAGATAAAAGCATTCATACATGTATGATCATCTTAATTTATAATTAAAGCTGCAAGCAGCATCACAGGGGCCCCAAGCATATATTCCATAAATAATGAGGTCAAATGATACACATGATACACAATTGGTTAGTTTGAATGATTAGTACCATGAAGTCGAAATGCAGTTAGTTCCATATATTTATTTGAGATATAAAGGTTATGAATATTAATGAGTTCACATGACCATATATGGTCATCTGTTATTTTAATCAAATCTCTTGTCCAACGTTGTCATAATAACACAGGATTCATCTTCCTAACTGCAACAGTATTTGAGATATAATGATTATGCATATTCATGAGCCCATATGTTCATCTGTTATTTTAATCAAATTTCTTATTCAATGTTGTCATAACACAGGATTCATCTTCCTAACTGCAACAGTGTTTGAGATATGACAGTTATGCATATTAATTAGCTCAAATGACCATATATGGTCATCTGTTATTTTAATCAAATCTCTTGTTTAACATCATCATAATAACACAAATTTCATCTTCCTACCTGCAACAGTGCTTGAGATATAACAGTTATGCATATTAATGAGTTCATCTGACCATATATGGTCATATGTTATTTTATTCAAATCTCTTGTTGAATGTTGTCATAATAACACAGGATTCATCTTCCTAACTGCAACAGTGTTTGAGATATGACAGTTATGCATATTAATGAGTGGCCAAACCATGCGACTGATCTGAAATCTTTCTTAGGTTTCTGAAAGAGTTTGATATAGAGATGCCATGCAGCAATATTGAAGATAATCGCTCAAGTGTGGCAAGAGTAAAAAACTACTTCCTGTTGAGAACAAACCCAAAATGGCGGCCAAATCACGTGACCAATCATAATGAATTTCTCAAATCTAAATCTGCTCCATGTCGAAGCTAAGTACTGAATATGAGAGCATTCTGCTTGGTGGTTCTGAAGAAGAAGATTTTAAAGTGTTTTTTTTTCAGTTTTTAGGAAAAACAAAATGGCGGGAAAAGTCATGTGACCGCTAAATTTTTTTTCCTGATATTTGTTACACATGAGTTGTACTATATACCATAAAAAAATCTAGACGCCTAGACTCTCAGAATGTGGTCAAACAGCCACTTCCGGTTTTATTTCAATCTAATATGGCTGCCAAACTAATTGGCTAATGAAAATTCTGAAAGCATGTTGCACCAGTTCATATTAGAGACTATTAGTATAGAGCATTTTCAGACTCTTCGGTTCAGCGGTTTTCTCAAACGGCTTGACGAAAAAAGTTACGAAGAAAAAAAGAAAGAAGAAAAAAGAAGAAGAAAGAAGAAGAAAGAAGAAGAAAGAAAAAGAAAGAAGAAGAAAGAAGAAGAAGAGAAAAACGGACAATAAGAATAGGGGCCACGCCCTACAGGCTCGGGCCCCTAATTAATGAAAAGTCTAAGCAAACAACATAGTTAATCTGAAGTTGACTTAGAGTTAGTTAAAAGGGGTGGACCAGATCCTAAACGCCGTTGTCACAACGGCTCTTGAACAATGTAATGTACCATGTGAACACAATACGACTGCCAAACGCCCTCTATCGCCGACTTATTTATGTTTGTCATTACACAAGATGGCGTCGGAGGTCACAAGTCAAATGTCGAACTGGTCAGACGAAGATACAAAATTATTGATATCTGTATGGAGAGAATCAAATATTCAAAGAATGATGGACGGAACATCTAGGGATGCTAGAGTACCGGGGTATATGCTGTGATTGCAGAAAAAGCGGCTGAAAAAGGATTGGACAGGACGTCATTACAATGTCAACGGCATTGTAGCTTTTAGCATTAGGCATTTAGCTACACAACGTAGCTTTAGTGTCAAGATCAACGTTTTCTTTAGTTCACAGTGTATATTCACATACTTCAGTATACAATCACCATATTAAATTATCATTTATCGTGTTTGTTTTGTTCATGTTAAAGGAAAAATCCTAACAATTAACATAATGCTCCAGATGAAAAAGCTCTACAAATGTAGGAAAATTCTATTTCCATTTTCTTTATATATCTTTTCATTCTCTAGATATTCAACAATTCATCAGTTTAAGCAGTCCACCATCTTGATTATACAGCAAGGGATTATGGGTAAAATATGATATCAATCATAGCCACTGTAGTAGTTCAAATTGGTTGAAAGTTTAGAACAAGCATACATTTAGCATACATATATACCGGTGCTAACCATACTTATAAAATAGTATCCATGGCAACAAAACTGAAAATATTAATTTTTTAGTTTTTCCACCAAAAATTTCATACAATTTATTAAGAGTAGGTTATACTGGTGTTATCCATAAATTGATGTCAAAAATGTGTCATTCTAGTTTCAATGACCAAAATAACATTTTTAATTTATTTTATGTTTTTGGCAATATCTTTACTTTTTTATACCGTATTTGCAACATTCTAATTTCAATTATAATAATTTTATGCATGAGTGATGTGCACATCAACAATTTAAATTAATTTAAGTTATAGATGAAACAAGACACTTCGTAATGGACGTCTGTCGCGGTCAGTGATATTCACAATTCTTTCACCATTCCAACCACTAATTAGGTATAGTGTCACATGATCATTTCGGCTAATTTTTAACAAATCCAAAAGCACACTGAATAACTTTGCTTACTTTTGCTGTTTTAATGATTTTAATGGCTGTATATATTTTAGTACATACATACTCATCACCCATCAAATATGGGTAAGAGAATTTTCTATATTATAATCTGGACAGAAGAAAGAATTTATACATTTTTTTCTATCCTTGCACCTACATGCAGGAAACCTAATAAATGACTTTGCAATATTGGGAGGGGCGACGGGCTACAAATTTTGTGTACTTATGCAGGCATTTTTGATGTGAATGTTATTTTTAATTATTGCCTTCAGACAACCTAGCCGAGGTGTGGTGGTCGGCGCACTAAGTGGTCGTAACTTCGTAGTGTAAAGTTTCTGCAAGATTTGCCGGGGCACACTGTAGCCGGGGTTCAGATTGGAATTTGCTGTCGGGTCTACGTTTCTCTAGTTCAACTATTGTACAACGAATGTACGCACGTGATAAGCGAATATCTGGAGTCAATATTAGCGTCAATACAGGAAACGTAGGAGAGAGACAGCTGTTTACGTCGCACTAGTTGTGTGTGGAATCACGCACATTGACCGTCCAGTGTTGAGCCGTGTGTGGTAGTGTATAGTAATTCGTATCTATGTATTTGTAAGTTAATGCATGATCAGTTATAAGTTACTTTCTCGTGGCTGGTTGGTTAATTATTGAATTTGTATTGATTAATTTGATTTGTAATGTAGAAAGGAGTTAGTACTGATAATTAATGTGAAGTTAATTTGGCAATTATTTCTAAAGCCAGACTGTAGAGTATGAGAGTACAGTTGTATTTAAATGATATGCATATTGAATCCATAATTTAGTAATATAACCGTTATGTACGATAAGATTTCACTAGTAGAAATTGAGAAACACAAATGTACACACATTACATCAAAATGAACACTATATACAGCTATCCTGGAATTCAAATAAATATTTGATTGGCATATCAAAATCCTGTATTAGAACAGAACATGTTCTATATTCACCAAAAAACAACTTTGCTATGTTTCTAGACATACAATGGACTTGAAACGAAAGAAACCATCTGATCACCACCTTTGTCTTTGAAAATCGTCCTTGTGTTTCTGAGTGAAAAGACGTCAGTGCCAAAAACAGGAGAACACTCGTAAAAAACAAAATTACTACCAGTCTGCCATTTTGAATCAAATCACAAACAAAAAATGATGGGTATCAGTAACCTACCATGACTTATGTCAATGCTAAGTTTGAATGAAATCGGTCAAGGCATGAAACGGTTGATGACATGTCCAAATATTGATTTTTGGTGTTTTTTGGATAAAAACAGCCATCAGTTGGTCGAAGGTCAACCAAATCAAAAATAAATCGATGTGCACATGTCTCCCACTATGACTCGTCTTTGTACATGTAACAGCTTTGAATAAAATCTGTCCAGGCGTCTCTGAGAAATGACGCACGGACGAACGGAACCCAAAACATAAGTCCCCGATTCGGACTACGTCTGACAGGGACAAAAAACCAAAACAGAAAACATCTTAAATTTATTAAAATATTGCTAGGTATATATAACGAAGACACAGCAAATAAATGCTTCTCGGGTGAAATAGGGGAATACACTAAATTTAAAATTAATTACAATTTTGAAGACTACTTAAGGTAGCGAGAGGGGAAAAACTAGAAAAAAAACTTTTTTCTAAAAATCACGGATTATGCAACCTTATATTGTGTACTTTCTTTATTTTTGGTCCGAATTTACAGTGCACGATGCATTTGTTGAGTAATTTCAATTTATTCCCGGAAACTTAGTTGTAGGTGAACACGTCCTTCATCCATTTACATATCATGTTGAATGACAGACTGAAGACAAAGGATTTAGTTTGCATACTGATTTGTTGACCATCCAGCTTTATTATATCCTGTGTAATCTATAAGTAGTGTCCATTATGCTATCGAAGCACAAACAAACATTACACTATAGTATTTCAAGCTTTAATCGGTGTTTTAATAATCTAATATATCATGGGAAGGAGTTCTAAGATGAAAAAAAACTGGCCGCCAAAAAATGTCTAACGTCGTTAAAAGATATTTAAATGAAAGTGGCCTGGGCTCATATTATAGTCAGCCCGCAGAGTGGAATAAAAAATGTAACTACGTGACTGACATTTTTCCTGCGTCAAAAAAGAGTGGACATTCTTTTGATGTGAATAGTAAGCTGGTGATCGCGGCTCGTGGCATTGGAAAAGGGTCGTCGCGCAATGCGTAAATTTAGTAGCTATATGGGATTACCGCCTCCTCTATTATATCTGGAACCACATTCAGAGAAAACACTCTGAAAGTTTTAGACGTTGCTAAAAGACTATTAGAACAAAAATTTCAAGATGCCGCCGATGAAATAGGAAAACTCAAAACAAAATTGGCGGAGATAGACGAGAGTAGTGACACCGATAAAAAACAGTGCATATAGCAGTTTCTGTCGACAGGTCAAGTTGGGTGGTCCAAATTCAAATATCAGTGCGTGAACTCTGGAGGTCATTACCCAATGCCGCACATAATTCAAACACGTGATTAGTAGAGTTCTGTCGAAATGTACGTGATAATGAGATCAAGTGCGCTG